AGTTTTAACAACAATGTGTCGTGAAATAACACTAACAGGTTATATAGTATTTCACTGTAACATTAACAAGTCTACAGGAACCAGTTTACTTTATATAATACTGCAGTGCTGAGACATCTTCTGTATGTTTGTTTAAATACTTTGTTGTGTACATAACTAACTGGTCCTCCCTCTAAGAGACACATTTACTTGATTCCTGTAGTAGTTTGTCATAGCAGCTTGCATAAAGTATATTCAAAATTCCTATTAATGATGTTAAACCATGCTCTCCATAGTGACACCCTGGACTTAATGAATATAGAAACCACCACTTTTCATTTCATAGCGAGTAACACTTTAGACAGGGGTTAGGGTAAAAAAAGAAGGGGCACATACAGTATAGATAAAGTCATTTGAGGTGAAAACTTCATAGAATCTAAACGACAGCCTTGATGACATCTGTGGCAATGATTAGCATCAAATATCTGGCCAATAGAGATTTTTCAACTGTGAAGTGCTTCTATTTTCAGGCTCTATGCAGCATTTTAATAACTGAGAGTGACCTTTTCTCTTAAGCTTATACATTTGATGTCCCTACAAACTGGTTATTCAACTCAATGGTCAGTTTTGAGGCTTAATTTGGAGCAGATTATAATTATTATATTTTTTTTAAACAGAAAAGCTTGAATGAAAAATGCTTTTAACTTAAAGACTCTTTTAAAACTCCTTTTTGACTCTTCTCTGTATGTTAAGTGCTAGAAATACTGAACTGTCTGAGACATGGATTCAGCTAGTTGCTGACTAAGTTCTTTGTGTTCTTGCAGAGAGTTAAGAAAAGCAATAATGCTACATACTGTATTATACCTCTTTATAAAAATGCTCTACTTGTCACACATCTGGAGATTGTGCAGGACAGCTAACAAAGTTACTGTAATGTTCTTGGATTCGTGCTGACATGATGAGCAATGGAATATTCATTTGAGACAAGGCATGAAGGGATACAAAGTGTAAATAACATGAAAATGAGGCCCTTCTGTTATGAAGCATGTCAAGCTACCACACCAGCAGCAGCTTGTAAAATTCACACTCAACAGAATGGATCCATGATTCAAGCTGTTTACACCAAATTGTGATCCTGCCGTCAGGATGCCATCAGAAATTAAGATTTGTTGGATCGATTGATGTTTTTCTACTGCTCAGTGATCCAGTTGTGGTGGTCATGCTCCCATTGTACAGTAGCTTTCTCTTGTACTTAGCTAAACCTATATGGCCTCCACTGATTAGCAAACTCATTTCAAAACTTGACAGGTTGTCAGATATACCCTTAAGCATTCAACTTTGGTTCTGGGCTAATATTTACATATTTGCTGTTTTGACCAAGTCTTGTCACGTGCCCTGATCACTCTAAAGTAAAAATACATTAAACTAAAGTGAGGAGGCTTTTACAACTAATGTTGTGAATATTTTTTATTTATCAGTTAACCTTACAAAAAATGCAGTAAACAAACAAAATATGCAAATCAAACCAGTATGTGTTGTGGCCACCCTTTGCTTTTTAAAACAGCACCAGTTCCCTTCATTACACATGGGCACAGTATTTCCAGGTGCTTGGCAGATAGATTGTTCCAAGCATCTTGAAGAAGTCACTACAGAACTTGTCTGTGGATTTGATCGGCCTCACTGGCTTCTGTCTCTTTATGTAACCCCAGACTGACTCCATGCTATTGAGATCAGGACTCTGTGGGGGCCATGCCATATGTTACAAGAGTCCTTGTTGTTATTGCTGAAGATTGATCTTTATGTACTGTATGTTTGGGCTCCCTGTCGTGCTGCAGACTGAATTTATGGCCTCCCTGATGGTACTGTGTGCTGGAAAAGAATCAAAACATCTACGTAAGTGCCTAGAGATTTTGCACAGTAATGTAGACCCCAGACTTTTGTCAGCTCTTTCGGTGAATGGAGGGGACATTCAAGCATTTTCCTCTCTCTGTGTTTGAGTTGCTGTACTATAGTGTTAGCCTGTTTTTTTAAGACATAACTCTGAGGAAAGTCAGTAAGCACAAAGTCTGCTTGGCCTCAGCTTTTCTTCTGTCTTCCTCTTTACTTTACTTCCATTGCATCATTGGCCTTTTACCGACTTATTTGTGCACTCACATTGAAAAGAAAGTTGGGAGTTGGGAGATATAATGCTGACTGTACCAACTGAATTTGCAAGCCTTTTTATGGGCATTTAGTTTACATTCAGGAAATGCACTTTTTCATGTTCATGCAGCTGATAAAACACTTGTTCAGTAAATTTTTTTGTTTGTTTTAACATAGAATTGTGTAAAATTTCAACCTGAATGGGAGCAAACCAGTTTTCGTTTTGTACAGTATGCTGATACAGTATTTTGTAGCGACTGTGGTTCAGTGGGTAGAGCAGTGGTCTCCCAAACGAAAGGTCGGAGGTTTGAATCACGGTGCATGCAGTCCATATGTCCAAGTGTCCTTGGGCAAGACACTGAACCCCCAAGTTGCCCCCGATGGTTAGAGCCATCGGTGTGAGTTGGCACCACAGATGGCTGCCTCGGTTCTGTAACGGAAACAAATTCCTTGTGTGTAACATACTTGGCCAAATAATTGTGATTATCCTTATTTGTATTCACTAAAGGAGGGCGGAGAGGACCCCTCACACCCAGAATACAATCTGTTTGAACTCCTTCCCTCTGGACGGCGTTACAGGTCACTGTGCACTAAGACAATCAGGCACAGGGACAGTTTCTTCCCCCAGGCTGTCACTCTGATGAACACTTAACCCATGACAGTGATTGGACAATAACCCTCAGTGCAATACTTGTAAATATACATTGTACAGATTATACAGACTCATATAGACTCATACAGGTCTCTAGTACTCTGTTTTAAGTATTCTATTTTTATCCCTAATTATCTCATTCCAATGAACATTCCTTTGTTGTCTGCATTATTTACTGTCTGTTTATACTGCTTTTTCTGCAAGGTTCGCACTGGTTGTTGATGTTAATACCACTATTTTGTTATATTACACAGCCTTATGCTGGTCTACTGTTTGCACATTGAGAGCCGATGTACCTGAGTCGAATTCCTCGTGTGTCCAACACACCTGGCCAATAAACTGATTCTGATTCTACATAGTTCTTAAGGTTTCTGTGTACACATGTCTGCATCCCCCATGCTGGCTGGCAATAAAATGAGAGCACAGTATCCTTGTTAGACAGAAGGGAGGTTTCTATTGCACAGTCACTCTTGACTAATGACTTAGGTTTTCAGACTTTTTAGCATGTTTTATAGAGCTATCTGACGTAAATGTTATCAAGAATGTTGTTGCCAGAGCTTAATGTCTGAAACTGATCTTCAGCAAAAAAAAAAAAAAACAATTGGTATGTGATGGAACTAGTGATTAAAATACGGCAATACAGCGGTCCAGTCACTCAAATAATCTTTCTATCTCAATTTGAACCTTGTCTGCACTTGGAAAATTAATTGACAGACCTAACTGTTGTAGCTATACTGCTTCTTCCTCTTCCTTGCTCCGTGGCTATTTCCTTACACACACTCACACACAAATACAGACATACAGTACAACATGCACCTGGGCAAACTCAAATAAAAACACTGAAGGATGAATTGATGTGGGATGGCATGTTTGTACATCCATGGCTTTTTCGTGAGAGGTTCAATTCTGTGTCTTTAAAAACAACAATGATTTAAGCCACTCACTGAGGAGGATCAGCTTCCTGAATGGGACCAGGCAATCATGCTGTTCTTTTCCAGCCCTTTCCCCTCCCTGCCTGCCTGCCGAGGGTGCTCTGCAGCATCCTTTTCAGCTTGTGAATCAACCTCCTTCCACACTATCCTCCTCCCTTTATACAGACAAAAACAACCCCCATCAGCACCACCACCACCCGTGTCACTCTGCCCAGTAATCATAATCCACCAACAACCCGGTTTCTTTTGGGTTCTCTACAAATTATTCACAATCGCATCCAAAATTTACCCCCGTTTCTTTAAGGGGAGGCATAATCGCTGCAGTCAGCTCCAAAATGTATCCAGAAAAAGCCTGCAATGGGGAGAGGCTGCTATAAATACGCCCACCCCCTCCACCCTCACTTCCCATCCACATCACTCCCTCATTCCATCCTTCCTTCCAAGTGAAACGCACATCAGCTAGGACGGTACTGCAGGGTCCATTCGCTGGGTTACTGTGCACTTTTTTATGTAAGGGAGGGTACACCAGTTATGTCATCGCTCCTACACCATTCGTGCCTGCTTGGTGAAACAGCGGGGGTGGGGGTGGGGGGGAGGGAGGTGGTAGGCTGCTATTCAGTGACTTCCTTTGAATCATTTATATCACATGTGTGGAGGCAACCGCAGGCTATATAGCATGCTGTCGACAGGGCTCATATAGGCTACATAGTTATACTGCCCATACTGGTAACAGCTGGAGTGTAGACTACAATCCATATTGCACACAAACACACTTACACGCACATGCCAGCTGCACCAGCTGGGCACACATGTCCGCGGGGGCAAAGCTATAGATGAGCAATGGGTGACTAATGAGGTAACCGCAACTGTTGGTCGTTAAGGCCCTAAAACAAAAGGCCACGAAGGCGCTTTTTTTCTGTTGAGGTTGTAAACGTTGTTTCGCCGCTGTTTTGTCCAAAATTGCTTTCATTCTCCAAACTGAAAACCAAGAGCTGCCCGTGGTGCTAAACTTTCAACACAATCAGAGAACATCTAGCCTCCAAATTTAGCGCAGCAGCTGAACTCACTCCAGATTCAACTTTTACGACCCCCTGCAATCGCGTTGTGTACATTTAATGTGTATACGCGCCTGTTGATTACATTTTGTTTGCCAGCGCCATAGCCTAGGTTACAGTAGGCTATGTGAAAAAGGATGTCTGGAAACCAGTATACAAAGTGTTGCATGACGTTACTGTGATTGTGGACTTCGTTTCAGATGGAAACATAAAGCTAAATAGAGCTATTTCTCTACCGACCTTACACAGCTGAAAGTTTTCCGACACTAGCGTTTCTTGGATGTCTATTTCCCTGGGAGTTGGCCCCGCGGTGGGAGTCCCGGCCGCACTGCCGCACGATGGGGATCCGATAGTCCCTCCGGGAGAGGAAGTGGTCAAGCCGTCCAACACCTTCCGAAACTTCTTCATTTTATCGTTCTTTTGTATATGTCAGGTTTAGTACGGAGAGGAAAAAGACCACTCTGCTTTCTTTGTTTTTACAGAGTTCCCGGTCTCCTCTCAGATGCAAGATCCCAACTCGTTTAGGCAGCAAGAAAAGAAACGTCTCTTCCCTGCAGCAATAGCAGACTAAAAGGACCCGCCGTCAGTTTCTCTGTCTTAGGTGCAATTTAAACAGTCATAGAGGCAACTCATCTTGCTCTCTGGCATTCAAACAATGAATGCGTCTGATCCACTCTGATTTAAGGAGTAGAGCCAATGTTGTAGATGCTGGACACCAATCTCATATCAGAGCATTCACCGAGGGCTACACTCAACTTCATCCTCCTTCTGCATCCTAAAGTAACATCCACTCCCGGGCTTGGAGACCATTCCGACCCTTCAACATTAGAGGAGCATCGAGCTGCGATGTTCAGATGTCTCAGACAGAAGCAGATAAATCAAAGAAAAAGAAAAAGAAAAAGAAAACTTCGAGCAGGTCGATCCAGTGCCCCTCCAAAAAAAAAGTACTTCGCAGCAGTGTGGTTTCCAGTAACAGGGAATGAAGGAGGAGGAAACAGACCGAAGACGCACAGGCAATGCAGTTAAACGCGATAGAATCCTCACACAGTCAGGCAGGAAGATCAGGCAACTCAAGCATCGAGGGGAAGAAGGGGATAAAGGGGTGGGAGGAAATGCTCTGTGCTGGCGGTGTGAGCTGAAGGTTAATCTGTGAGTCGATGCGGGTTGGGTTGTCCGACCATCCGGTGTCGCTTCCCTGCAGCCCAGAGACAGAAGACAGA